ATACATTAAGATCAGGTTTCTTAAAGTAGTTTTTTTTGTATTCTAAACTGGTTTAGACGACTGATTTTACAGTTCTTTTTATGAATGATGTAACCAATTAAAAAAATATATACAATTATAGCTTTTTCAAAATAGTCCAACCAATCTGAAATTGCTATATTCTAGGATGTGTTGAACAGAACAGTGTAAAATTTCCTATAAAACAAAAGTATTCTGCTTTAGGTTGATTAATTCTATAAATAACACGTAAAACGTGAAATCAGAGGTTGAAAAATGAGAAAAGTGGATGTACAGAAGAGGGGAATAGGCACAGTGCAATAAAATCTAAAACGTTTGTACGATTCATGGTGTTAGTTAGTTGGAGGTAGTCAGTAGGAGACCATGAACATAGGCTGCATGTTTATTGGCACTCATCAAGTCGTGCCTCAGATCTTTAGGAAAATGTTACTCCTTGTGGTATTGAAACTAGCTTGTCTTAACTTGACGACTCCGTCTGTAGCTCTTCTAGAGTTACTGCCGATCCAAAGCCCGGGTAAAGGAGAAGGGTTGGGCATAAGGTCGGTAACCCCATCTCGTAGAAAAATCTTGCTAAAAAAACGGCAACCAAATTAAATCATTTAAACTCTGTCCCGAGATTTGGAGGAAGAACTATGACGCCTCATGATGGAAGCCGGGATTCTTCGAAGTCACGAGGCCGGTGCCTCTACTAATAACGAGAGCAACAATTTTTGTAGGTACATGGAACGTCCAGCCAATGTGGTAAACCGAGAAGATCAGTCAAATAGCACCAGAAATGACGAGATACAACTTGGCAGTACTGGGAATCAGCGAAACCAATTGGACCCAAGCTGGAAAACAAAGGCTAAATACGGGAGAGATGCTGCTATACTTCGGTCACGAAGAGGAAAATGCCCCACACACTCAGGGAGTTGCTCTAATGCTGTCCAAAGTAGCACGAAATGCACTTATAGGATGGGAATCTCTTGGATCCAGAATCATCAAAGCATCATTCAAAACAAAGAAGGAGGGGATCACAATGAACATTATCCAATGTTATTCACCCACCAGTGATAGGAACGACGACAATAAAGATCAGTCCTATGAGAGGCTGCAGTCAATCAAAGCGAATTGCACAAGAAGGGACCTCACCATGCTGATGGGAGATCTAAACGCCAAAGTCGGAATGGACAAAACCAGACTGGGAGAGAGAAGCGAAAATGGGGAGAGATTCGCAAACCTATGTGCACTCAACAAATCGGATATAGGCGGCACAATATTCCCACGCAAACGCATACACATAGCTACATGGGTCTTACTGGATCACGCCACGGAGAACCAGATAGATCATATTTGTATTTGTCATTATTTCATTTCGTTTGTGGCATTTATTGCTACCCTATCGTGTCAAGCTTTTTTTCTACAGCAGTAATAGTAATACAATGTTCAATTCAGTTTACTACTTTTTTTTAAAGGGTAGAGACAAAATTCTGGCCCGGTAGTTAGCCAGATAGTTGAATCATTGCATCGTGAGTATTGGCTAAATAAGTCATACATAGTGAGGAGTAGGTGGTGAATTTATTGATTATTTCTTCATCCATCGTTAAAGTATTGAACATTTAAAAATGTTTCTATGTCGACTAGTTAGACAAACCTGTTCTCTGGAGTTGGCGGTTGGAAAGTGATATATTTGAAGTCATAACTATATTATCTCTTTAGAACGTGAACGGTGTGGTTATATATTGTCCTATTTTCCCAAATAAGCAGGGTTTTTGATAACGTTGCTCACTGACCGCCGATAGTATTTTGGAGGCAGCTTCAAAAGAGGTATGTAGTGTCAATGTCCATCAGTAATCTCAAAATAAACTATTCAATTTTAAATAGAATAGGTGGAATGTGGCTAGCGTCTGAATCCAGGAGGAGCGTTTCGTCTTATTCTGGACTCATCGACTAGATGTACTTGCATCGCATGGTTAATGTTGACTTTGGAACTCAAACCCAGTATCGTTTGGGATATCCCTAGCTATTCAAATTAAATTATCACTCAATTTTGAATTTGCAAATCGTGACCGTTGTTGCTACCTTGATGTGATGGTTGGGCTTGCCTGTCGTGATGAAGCAACTGAGCTATACTGGCTGGAACAACCGTTCCTCAAGGTCCTACCATGCCAGACAGGTCGGTTGAAGAGCGGTAAGACTAAAAGCAACGAAACCAAGGTCCGAAGGCGAAGTCGTACTGCTGACTGTACAGAGGTGTGACAGCAGTAAGGTGTTTCCTTCAGACAACCAGCATAGCAGCGATGCTGCCTTCCCACAAGGAGGGGAGGGGTTAGAAAAGGTCGACCCTAAAAGTGCACACCTCGCCTTATCCCACGGATATCCGTCTCCGGCGGTAAGGTATCAACAAGTACGGAGCTAACACAAAAATTACTCATAAAAAGGTCGTGTGTGACCGACCTCAAGCAGCTGTCCCTTGGGCACTGCGGCCACGCTCTCAGGTCACTATGACCACCTCTAATCCAATTTCCTTTTCAGGTACCTCCAGCAGAACCCTTCACGGTGTGGGCAACCGGGAAGTGATAACCGCCCTCATACCTCTAACAGCACTCAAGACCACTGTATTCACTGAATTTGCAAATCATATTTCAATCGCCACCAACAAATTGTTCAATTATCCAGTATTTAGTAAATAGTGTCTGCAAGTTTGGTGTGTAATCTGCCTCCCTAGGAAATTATTACGAATGATTTTTTAATCGTGGTATACAGTAATACAAAAGATAAACTTACCCTTCATATTAAAGCGATTTTTATCTTATATTCTCGGTATACATCACATATATCAACTGATTCTGAATGACAGTTACTAGTTGTGTTTTAATTTTTTTTCTATAGACTGTTTTGGCTCTTTATCCACAAACAACATGTTTCTACAAAGCAATTGTGGATGAAATCCCAACTCATGTAAGTTTACTCATCGTGTTATCTTAATACTTTCTACACTTTGAAAGGAATACATAATAATTAAAGAATAGAAACTCGGGAAGTTTTGGTCATCTACATTCAAGTTATTTATTGGTTTGTTATATTATATTAGCAGTAGTGTACATAAAATTGTCACCATTACGCATGAATCTCATGAGCATACATACTGCTACTGGCATAAAATAAGTAATGAACACGTTTAATATCATTTTAGTTTTGTCTAGGATATGAAAGTTAGAGAACTCTTATGCTTTAATAAACGTTTTCATGTTAATAAATACAATTCATTTTGTGCAATTAATCATTTGATAATTGCTCTCTATTTTCTCATTCTAGATACATGATGAGTATTCCCTTTATTTCGAAGATTCATCCTACCCTGAAGGTTATGCTCCAGCTATTAAAATACCTCAACGATATGTTATTCAATGTCCTGACAAGGAAGCAATGACGAGTAAACATTTAGACAGGTCAAAAAAGCGTGGTAAAAAACTATGAATTGTAAGATGAACCTATTACTTATAATCTTAACTTCTTCCATCTTGCATTTGTATGTAGTTGTGTAAATATAACTAATTTCTTTGTTGTTTCTGCATCTGAATATGGTAATGTGGATTTTGAAAACAATGGATTTCGAAGTAGTTTTTCGGTCATTCATTCACTACAAGCAAATACGAAGTAGTACTGAGATATCTACTTATTGACTTACAATACTGTAATGTATCGTTTCGAAAGTTAGCTGCTAAAGATACTGAAACTAAGAACGTTGCGAGTATTTGTTAACTGGGTTTTTTTTTCAAAAACAAAGGATATTTGACCAAACAATTGTTTTCAATAAATTCGCCATTTTAAACATATAACATTGTCTAATTCAGTAATACATGCCTTATTTTGGCTTTTGTAAAAATAACAATAATTATGAACTAATAACTGTAGAGCCTGATGAAAAAGTTATTAAAAACAAATATTTTATTGGGATTCTTAACGGTTTTCACTCAAACATGATGCTAACAAAGTCTTCGCAGTGATCTGCTCAGTCAAGAAAATATGTGTGCGTAGAACTGTAAAGAAACATATTGCTGAGAAAATCGAAAATCTGAACATTCATTTGACTGTTTAGTCTGTTGAAGCGGATATATATATATATATATATATATATATATATATATATATATATATATATATATATATATATACAAACCCTCATATATAATAATTATATATAACTACTGGGAAAGTTAGGAGCGGCCCAGTCAAACATAGGTGTAGTTCTTCAAGTCATTGATAATTATTCACTTGAAGCTGGTCTCACAGTAAGCGACTGAATAACTTCGGGAACGTTGATTGCTTAGTTCAGTAACAGGAAAGTGCAATATACTGAATCCTGTGGGTAAAACACCACTGGATTATCAGCATGTCTTGTACATGTATTACTAACAATTAAGTAGGGTTGGTTTATACCTCTATTTTTCCTATGTATGGTGGCTTGAGATATTTAAATATGTCCACTACTTTACCCTCTACCGCAGGTAGGTGCACTTTGTTTGGCTGACTGTCAGTGAAACGTCGGTAGAAGTTCAGAGATTTCGAAAATACGCATGCCACATTAGAGATCAAGGATAAAATTAGAAGTTTACAGTTCGACGTATAGCCCATATGTATTCTTATTTATGAAACAATCTTAGGCATTCAAACATTTGTTTTCAAGGTTCTAGTGAAACATATAAGTGATTAGTGCTAAGGTATTCATAAACTGCACTACTTATTCGTAGAATAATGATAAAGCAAGAAATGATCACGAAGTTTTCAACTATTGGGATGAGAAATGTAGGCAGTTAGGTAAAGCATATTAGTGGAGACTTTAATGATAGTAAGACAATGAGACGTTTACTGTCACAGGACCAGAAATATCAGTATCTAAGTTTGAGCATACCAGTTTCATACAAAACTTATAATTGCCATACTTCTTCATAACCACATTCTCGTGCCCCCATTATCCCTCACAAAACTATACTATTAATTATTAGTTTATTGGGAGATAACATGAGGTTACATGAGTGGGGAAAATTAATCACAATTTCATTACGAAATTATCAAGTTTTAAAGTGTTAGAAATTTCTGAAATAGATCGTTTTAAATTTCCAACAGAGCGTTTTTGGTAACGGCTAGTTTCCGTTCTTAACACACAAGGTTTAGATAGTTTCGATAGAGTTCTGTCGAATGGTTGTTGAAATTGAAGAGTATTTGGATAATTTGGTATTCTATAGCTGTCAGCAATCTTGGCATGTTGACGCATAATTGACATTTGATAAAAGCTTGATGGTCGTCGTTGATTGGCCATAATATTATTTAATGGGATTTTATTATTAATCATATCTGTCTCAGGAGATAATAATAAGGTAGGATTGTATGCTTGTGAAGTAGATACTGTTTGTTTAGGTGAATTACTAGTACTTGGTTTATTTTGTTTCATACGAAATGGATTTGCAGGTGTTAAAAAGTCCGTCTAAGAAAAAATTAATTCAAGCATGATAAATCAGTTAAGTAGTTTAGTGGGTTTGTCTAAAAAATCTTGGAAGGACTCGAATGATTTGTCCGTGTTATATCCGACGAAGATTAAATTATAGATAGCTTGCGAGAACTGTCTATAGACTCGTTACATGTATATTCTTATTGTATAACTTATGTAACTAGATTACATATGTTTATATTTCTATTATTACGAGCTTCCATTTGACCTATTGACTACTGTCATAAGATCTACTATTTTTAAGTTATTCCCAGTTTACTAGTTACCGTCTCGCACAATCACAGCCACTTTTTGGCTAGATGTTGTATAATTGTTACTTTTTATTTTACGGAGTGTTGCGGTCTGGTTTCCTTGTATATTAACTGCGTGTATCTGAAATACATGATTCATACAGTGGGATCTGAGATTGTGTTCTGGACATAAAATGACAGCGCTAGGCGAGGAGAATCAATAAGAACTCAGAGTTGACTCTGGGCTGCTCGTACTGGTTAACGTGTCATTGGTTTGGCACAGTGCCAAGGTCGTATAAGTGGATGTTTTAATTGGTGAGTTAACCACGTGATAATCAACAGGACAAAAGTCATAACAATTTGAATGTTATAAAAGTTTGGTTATCTCTACACAGGGGTTTTCCTATTACCTACACTTTTAAAGATATTTTAAACTATGAAACAAGCAATCGGGAAAAGCAGTGGTACTTCTATACCAATATAAACTGCCCCCAAATGCCATGGTACGGCCGAGAGTGGGGAGAGTTCGCCCTCCTTCTCGAAATGCTCTCACATGGCCACGTGTATATAGCCTCTACCAGGGAAGTCTCACTCACTGCCTTCTCGCGGCAGGGGTGTTGTTTACGAAAATGAGAGGACGAAAAGCGAATGTCCGGCGCTTTAACCGGATCCCAAATCAATGGTGCACATGGGCTCCAGTATCCTGAAGGAACAAATGGCGTATGAACCAACCGTTGGTCATCGGCTACCATGGGATCGCATCTCCTTACGATGCTCCACTGCCTTGTGAGTCAGACATTCAGGTCGAAGGCTCGGGGTGTGGCCCCCTAAGAAAATCATCTGCTTCGGTTTGGGCACCCGTGCAGTATCATAGCCCTCACACATATCAAATGACATTTGTGTGGCGCACATATATTTGGTGCCTGCTTGTACCAATATCTATGTGTTAAGATAAAAAATAAAAAAAATAAACCAATATAAACTAAACAGATCTAATCGCAGATAATATGCCATAAGAGTAATACTGAAATAAAATTTCGATTTCTTAGATCTGACCAAATAATATGAACTATATTCTCCTTTAAAAACACAGTTAACAATTTCGCCTAGACGCTTCGCAACAAAAAAAATCAAGACTGGCCTATTAATTTATTGCGGTTCCTTTACAAAAGTAACGGTGATGATTGTATAGAATGGATTTGAATGGCGGTGTATTCAATCTTTATACGACTCTGAAGATCAACTGTATTTTATTTTGAAACCAGTTGATATTATATTCACTGAAACACTTTATTGTCCGTGTTTTTTTCAGCATAGATAACTGTATTCAATACGTTTCTCAACGAGCTATTCAAAGTTATTTGTGAATCTATTTCTGTTGCTTTGTATTTGACAATTATATCTACCTTTTGTATTTTTTAATACGATTTTTGTGGAATTATCTTTTTTCTCATGAAATCATGTAAGGGTTTTTCAAAACCCTATCTTTTTTTCTGTTTATTAGTGCGTTTGAGGTGTTAATTGGACTGTTGTTATTGTTACATTTGTCATTGTATCAATAAACATATCCAGTAAGCGTACGTTTTGATATCAGTGAACGATCTTCATTTTAAGTATTGATGTTCGTTAGTGATAGTGCTATTGTGCTTATGAGAGTCGAAATTTCACGAAATGTATCACATGACAATTAGTTGAACTTACTTAACTATGAACCTAGTATATGTTTTTATTCTGAGATGTCTTTTTATGGCAAATAATTAATCACGATTTAAATTATCATAAAGGGATATCAATTAAATACTGATTAGAAATGCGATATAATGACTAACCCTTGGAGTGACATTAGCTGATTGTTCAAATGGACTGATTAAGAGTAAATCAGGTGTAGATAATTCCTTAGAAATTAATTTTGTCGATGGTGGAGTAACAAGTGAACTATCACTCATGGATATTGAACGCGCAGGAGTGGTAGACGTAGATGGTTGCGAAATAATCTTTGATGTAGGAGTTCCACAGGTTACATGCTCTTGAGAAGTATTTCCTTTTGTCTTATTAATATCTGAGTGAATTTTTCCAATTAAATTCGATAATTCACTTTCCAATTGTTTGACACGTTCCTTATATTCAGCAGCATTAGTTTCAGCACGTGTGATTTTTTGAGAAGCAGAAGTCTGTAGTTTGCGTACTCGAGACAATTCTGTACGATAACTTCTTACTTTTTCACGAGTAGCAGTTAATTCTGATCGCAAAACAGAAGCCCATTTACAAAGAGATAATAGTTCACTATCTTTTTGATGCTTAATTTGTGTTTCGTTTACATTTTCGAATTTCGATGTATATCGAGAAAATAGCTCACGTGCAGCATCTTCTGAAGCTGTAATGTTAGAAAACGAATTTCATAAAGAATAAGAGTATTTGATTAATTTTCGTCTTTTACAATTGGTTGAAATTCGAAAACAATGATGAATTTAAGGATAAAAATGAAAATAATTTATATGCCATGAAACCTTTCTAACTAGTTTTTGTCTATAATCGTCTTGTAAAACCAGTTACCTTTTACAGTTTACTGGTACAGCATGATGTACGTGAGAATTTTATCGAGTGGTTTGAAAGTCATACTTTTGACAACAAATACTGACTAAGATACACACAAGTGTGTTGTTTCCTCATTAATTCATGAAACAAACGAATACTTGGTACAAACAGAGCACCAGGAAACACTCCACACTATTAAACAGGATTAAAACCTGCGGGAAACTCGGTATCATAAGAGAAGCAACAAAGTCAAAGTAGAAATATAATCAAGATGGACTTCGTTGAATAAGGAGGTGAATCTGATGGAGTTAAGGAGAACTGTAACATTGCTACTTGTGTTCACTTTAAATCATGTCTAACGTCTAAAGCCACTGAGTTGTATGATTAATAAACTCCAAAAATGAGACGAAGAACCAGTTTAGGCTAGTTCAGTATAGTATTTCATTTCATGACACGAACTGACCGCCTCTTAGTTTCCTACATCCGATTCTAGTGTTGAATACACTATACATACAAGTATGTTGTTGTTGTTTTCGCCTGTTACTCCTCGTGAAGAAGCATAGGCCGCTCACCAGCACTCTCCATCCAACCCTGTCCTGGGCAATCCTTTCCAGTTCTTATTCGTCCCTTTCATATCCGCTCCTATTTCCCGACGTAATGTATACTTTGGCCTCCCACTTTTCCTCTTCTCTTCAGGATTCCAAGTTAGCGCTTGTCTCGTAATGCAGTTTGATGATTTCCTCAATGTATGTCCTATCCATTTCCATCGTCTTTCCCTAATTTCCTCTTCCGCTGGAAGCTGGTTGGTTCTCTCCCACAAAAGGCTGTTGCTGATGGTATCTGGCCAATGGATGTTGAGTATCTTGCGTAGACAGCTATCGATAAATACTTGTACCTTCTTGATGATGGTTGTTGTAGTTCTCCAAGTTTCAGCTCCGTACAGTAGAACTGCCTTGACGTTGGTATTGAAGATTCTGACTTTGATGTTGGTTGAAAGTTGTTTTGAGTTCCATATGTTCTTCAACTGAAGGAATGCTGTCCTTGCTTTGCCAATCCTAGCCTTTACGTCTGTATCTGAACCTCCTTGTTTATCGACGATGCTTCCCAGGTATGTGAAGGATTCCACATCTTCCAGAGTTTCGCCATCAAGAGTGATTTGACTGCTGTTCCCCGTGTTGTGTTTGAGGACCTTGGTTTTCCCTTTGTGTATTTTGAGGCCTACTGATGCAGAGACTGCTGCTATGCTGGCTGTCTTTATCTGCATTTGTTCGTGTGTATGTGATAGGAGGGCTAGGTCATCTATAAAACTATGTAGTGTTGGAAAATCAGGGAATTTATACTCTACCATAGTTTTATATCAGATCAATCATTACAATCATATTAATTAGTTTTGAATGTAACCAAAGATGAGGTGTCCCACCTCCCACTTTTGTCAACAACAGAAAAAACAAGAGAAATAACAAGTCTCAGTTACGCAAATTTTGGACCCAAGGATCTCATAATCTTCATACATGATCCTGTAAGATCAACAATTAACGACTTCCTATCCTACTTAAGTTAACATAACCCTAGCAAATGTGCGATAAACCTATCAAACTATCTTCAGTCGGTAATGGACAGTCATTTTTGGCATCGTTTTCCTAAACGAATACGGAAACTCAATAAAGGTTTCTACTTATCAGTGAATCAAAGCTAGAACAGATCTAAACAAAAGTTGATGTTTACGTACAAACTCCAACTAGCAGACTATTTTATTAACCTCATGAATTAATCACACGTCCATAATCTACTTTAACGTCTGGCTGTTAAGTCCCCCAATCGAGGTTTTTTCCAAAAGCTCACATTAACTGAGAGAACTGTTAAGTTAGACGAGCTACAATAATATCTGTGGATACCCTCACCCCCCATCAGCTAATCTATAGATGAAATACCAGAGAAAAAGCAACACTTACAGGATATTAGTTTTTTGACGTTTTGCATATCTTCTGTTTCTTTTCGAAGCTGAATAGCCTCAGCTTTCATAGCTTCGGCTTCTCGAAGAAACTGTTTCAAACTTGATATTTCTGTTCTGATTGATATAAAAAATACATCTTTTACCAAGCGAAGTTTATTTAGCAAATGAATAACTAACAAAAATTTTATAGCAGGTCACTACAACAACTAAAGGACACCATTATCTATGCACACCGGATTAGACTAGGGACAAATAAGTAATGATTTGAACGATAGACGGTTAGTACTTGAACAAACTCCCAGCATGAATTGACGATTATAATTTGAACACCTAGCAAAATTATGGTTATTAGAAACGGTTGTTGGATGAATAAAAATTGCAAATAGGAGGACAGTGTATAGTTGCTTTGTCCTACAACGCAACATAGTAGTGTGCATTCTTCCACAATGAGAGCGTTAAATCAGCATTACCTGGTTTTGTAGTGAATATTTTTCCGAGCAGTCTATAGGTTGGATCTTATCTGTTGAAAACTTCTATGATTTATGATAGTGCAGCGTTTGTCAGTAATCGTCCAATAGTTCTACAGATAACTAGAAAATAAGTCCCTATCGAAATTTCAATGTTGATTCAAATAACAAATTATGGATCGAATCAGTTAGAATATATTTTCATCAACTAAAATTTGTCACTACAAAGCATGAAGTTTTTGGATCGGAGAACGTGGTGTAGATCGACGGTATGAAATATGATATAGGAAGCCAGAACAGAAACAGGTATTCAAAGTCTAGTTGATTCCTAACTGATCTTAATTGGTGATGAACGTTATTTGTAATCAAAATAATCAACTTCTTAAAATATCATAAGGGATTTTGTGGATATTTATAGTAATTTCAGTGGTTGAGATCATGAGTCAGTTGAAGATAGACCAATGCTTCCAGGCTTTCCATGGTGGTCTAACGTCAACTGAATCATGATCTCAACCATTAAAATTCTTAAAATATATTAACGTTATGTCAGATTAAACAGGATAAAATTCTAAGAAGTACCTTAAATCTCGACAACGTTGTCTTTCTTTCTCGTATAATTTATCTGTTTCACTGTACAAAGTGGACAGTGCTGATATCTCTTTATCGCGTGCGCTTAATAGTTTGGAATTTTCTTCCGATTTTTGGGACAAGTTTTTACATAATAGGTCTAATCTCATATTTTCTGAACGTAATCGATGTAGTTGAACACTTAAGGATTTTATCGATTTGGAATCCAACTGCTGAAAAATAACAAGATAAAATTATTCGCGTGGAAATACTTAGGTAAATATGAGCAGTTGACCACTGATTTGTGCAAAGGCGGGCATTCATGCGATTTACCTTATATTAGAGTGAGTAACATGAAGCTATATATTTAAATCCTACACTTATTAACAGTCGCCAAGGTTTATCTAAAACATTCAGGGAATCTATGTTTCAAAAGAGAACCAAACTCATTTCCGCCTGACAGAAAATGATAACTTGTAAAACTAGATAACATATAGGAACTGGGCATCAAATGACATTGTGATGATTTAGCTTTATATGTTAATGGAAGTTAAATTAACTAGGAGATTTCGGTTTTAATAAATAACATTTCAGTTCCATCTTAATTAACTTAGTCGTTACTTCACAGAGATCACATAAGTTAATAGCAAAACCCATAGTACAAGGGCTGGTTGCCTAAGCACTGATAAACGGGCAAGATTCAAATTTCTCCCATTAAATTTCGGTAGATTTGTTGACGTTATGCATAACTGTCAGTACAAAAAAACCTAGACGATGAATTTATAGATGTCCATTGACTGAGACACGTGTTGTACGTATTGAGCCGTCAATTAAACTTGGATGGGTAGCATTTATAGACTTTATACAATACGTTTGGCCCAAAGCCTATTACATAAACTCGTATATGGTATATAAATTGTGCGTCTGAGTTCCTATGCAAAGAGAATTAAGTCTCTGACTGATGAGAAAGAGATGAAACACAAACTTGTGAACTGAGTACCGATTTTAAACACAGCAAAATATATTCCAGGTCAATTATGTGTTGTACTTTTCACTTATTATGTTTATTTATGTAATCTATTCCATTGTTACCATTGACTCATAAACTACCTTGATTGGTTTAATAATTTCGTATATGTGTATAAATATTACTGTATATTATAGTGAAGCCTGATGAGGATCTAATTAAAAGCAATATTGTTCGCTTATGTATGCTGTTCTAAATTACAATATGGGAATTTTTCAAATTACGTGCTAGTAAAAACTATTAGATTTAATAAATGGTTGACTTAGAAATCGAACCACATCCCGGGGATGCATTCATTTTATGAAATAATGAAATCACTGCCCTTGTTACTTTTTTTGTGAAGATCCAGTGTTTGAATAATGCTTTTTTAAGAGGTAGATTGATATAAAAGCTAGAAGCGAATGAACACAATCGTGAGATATCTAAAAAAGGTAAAATTATTTTCCTTTTTCCTATCTACCGCGAAAAAATATGGATTGCTGAAATCCTGTCTGTCTCATCTCCGTATTTTATTACTTACTATGAAATCTACTGAATATGTCATTGCTTGTTTGGAGAGTAAATAACACAAACTGTTGAAAACTTGACATGGAGTTCTACAGAGTTACTGATCCGAAGTATACTATACTGCGGATTGTTTATGATAGTATATAGTACATCTGAGTAGATGTATAAATTTTACGGTTAAATAAACTTACTGAACCTTCTGATGCTGAAGTTTCTTGTTCAAATGTCGTAGAATTGACGGGTTGTTCTTCTGAACTGTAACTAATCATATCAAAGTATAATTTAGAAATGACAAATGTTTTTTTGATGCCTATCCTGCATTGTGGACATGTTGAAGATGTTTTGAACCAGGTATCAATGCATATTTGATGGAACACATGACCACATGGTAATGCTGATATATTACATTCAAGTGCATTTGTAAAGCATTCCTGACAAACTGGACACTGAGCAAGTAGCATTATTCTAAAATTTTGAAGTTAAATGGATTAAATATTAGATGAAATAATATAAAGTGGGACGTCGTTACTAAAATAAGACTTTCTGTGACGATAGGCTTGAAAGTTATTAAATCATACACTAATCAAAACGCTTAGAATAGTAAGGCCAATAAAACATCTAGAAAGTTAATTAATTATGCATAGAGATTTTAAGTAAAGTGTACTCGTAGATTGTTGTGGTGTAATGTAGGATACCCTAAAAATACAAGGCCACTTACATTTCTGTAATAAGATTTCAATATAGACAGAAACCAAAGATGTTTATGTTTGAGAGAAAAATTTACTTACCGGAACTACTGGATTGAATACAGGTCATAAACGAACTAATAACTAAGCAATTTCGAATAATACATTTTTTCATCTTTCGTAACTGATTAAAAATGAGGGTTGGTGGTAAGCATACCTTAAGAGAATGAAATATTCGATATTGACTTCAAAATTGAAAAAACAAGGAAGCTGTAAATGGGTCTAGTCACACGGTTACAAATTATGGAGGTCGAAGATGATGATTACACAGTTGTGAGTACTCTACAATCTATTAAGTGAGGTGAGTATTTAGCGGCCAGTTACGTCATTCAACAAAGACTACTGACCAAACTGAAATGGATTAAACACTGAAAGACTATTCTGCTTGGAGCCAATTTAACTGCTTCGCTTTCGCTTCGGAATCTGGTTATAAAAAATATCGACTCAAGGTTACTTACTTACGCCTGTTAACCCTCGTAAAGGAGCATAGGCCGCTCACCAGCATTCTCCATACAACTCTGTAGTGGACAATCCTTTCCAGTTGCTATCGATCCTTTTCATGCCTTGATGTTGGCATGCAGACAGTTGTATTGAGTTTCATATGTTGTTTAACTGTAGGAATGCTGCTCTTGCTTTGCCAATTCCTAACCTTACATCTGCATCAGATCCTTCTTGTTCATAGATGATGCTACCCAGGTAAGTGGGAGAGTCCACATGTTCCACAGCTTCTCCATCAAGTGTGATTAGGTTGGTGTTCTCTATGTTGTACTTGGGAATCTTGCCTTATTCTTTGTGTATGCTGAGGCCTGTTGGTGTAGATACTTCTGCTACACTAGTTTGATTCATCTATATTTGTTCGTGTTTATGGAATAAAAAAGCTAGATTACTCCTCGTGTCCAAGTCACCTAACTGCATAGAAGCTGTCCATTGTATTCCATGCATACCCTCAAATGTCGAAGTCTTCACAATCCAGTCAGTCACTAGAAAAAAGAGAAAGAAGAGTAGACAGCCTTTTCTGAACCCGGTCCTCACTCGGAATGCATCTGTTAGCTGTTCTCCATGCACGACTTTGCATTGTAGTTCGTCGTATGAATTTCCTATGACGCTGATTATTTTCTCAGGTACATCATAGTCTCGAAGAAGATTCCATAAAATTCTCCTATCCACAATGTCGAATGCTTTCTCAAAGTCAAGGAAGTTGATGTGTAGTGACGACTTCTATTGAATTGATTGCTTAACAATTATCCTTAGTGTTGCGATTAGGTCTGTGCTGTAACTTAGCAGTTTTTGTAGTCTAGTATCAACTTTTGGGCGGTTCACACTTCATTCTATCCACTTTCGTCTGTGTAATTAGTAGTCTCATTAGTCTCAAATCAACAACGACGAACTTATAACTAGCACACAGATCAGTACTCCTTCGCTGAATGTGCTAACTGAAGTAACTGCGGTAAGTAGCATATATTTCAAATTAAAATGAACGATGATTGGATGACAAAGAGGTGAGGAAAACTCCTATGTTGACCGGATTTATATATGTGTTTACGTATTATATGGGATGTTGAAAACTGTTGGTTTGAGTTCTGATTACCAAATAAGCTTGATTGGGTTTCACAAGAAGTTAGAGATTAACAACTGAAGAATTGAGTAAACACGATGAAATCCATGGGGAGGGTTTTTATAAAACACACACAAACCACTAATAAAAGTGTTTTAACACGGTGACACTGAATCATGATCTCCATTGTAGTCAAACACAACATTGTCGGCAAGATTTCAAAACACAGTTCAATCAACTTAGTCGATAGCAGACCTGAATTATGAGTATATTATTTTTTGCCTCATAAACAGACAGCAGACATGCAATAAACGAGTTACAGGAACTTGAAAATACTCACAAAGTAGCCTGTATATATTCGTCTTCTAAAATTACTTAGATCATGAACAAAATATGGCTTAATACTCTTAATTCTCAAACTGCAATCACTTTTCATATATTTTAGCGCTACTAGTTTTTAGCGAAATTTATGCTTCAGTGGCATACTATTTGATTTCTTCTGATGTGCTAATTTGAAGCGCGGCAAAGTGAAATAATATAACACTTGATCATAAACTGATCCGATTTTTCTTCTATTTAAAAGAATGAAATAATTAAATTGGATGGATGAAAGATTAGCCAACAGGATAACGTTGTGAGCAAACATAAAAATTCCAATAGTACGACGAAGGACTTTGTGATAGACACGGAATGACGAAGATCCACTGGTTTAAAAATAGTGGTCCTCAAGTTTTGTGCCAAAAAGCCGGGAATGTTTCTTGTATGAGAAGTTGGGACCAAAAGCTTGATATAGGAAATCATTTAATGGTATAAGAAGCATAATTTGTGTGAGAACTAGTCTTAAATTCAAACCGTGTAAGGAACGCATTGAAACACCATATTTGTACTTGTTTAAATACAGGAGATTCAAAGGAAGCCTTACAATGACTTACAACACTCTGAACACCTCAAAATGTCTTCTTGAACACTGATAGGTGTTCAGTTCTGGGACAAACAAGAGAGGGAGTCCTTTAAGATTAAATGTGATACATAATTGAGGACCTAAAATATTACTTTATTTGTTCTGACAATAGTATTTTTATTTATTTATCTTATATATCTAGGTCCCAACCTGGATCTATCAGTGAACCACTACTTAACAATATGTAGCCCCATATCACGTATTTTAGTTCAGAAATGCTGACAAAGATATTCCGTTAAATTCAGCCGGCTTAGCACTTCCTCCATAGATACCTAACATGTCACTAAACCTTGGGCAATGATGAGTCCTAATGTGTGCCATATTTATTGACTAGAGCTCCTTTAAATTAAAATTCAACATTTCTGAATTAAAAGAAATAAGCCACGTGGGGCTGCATAGTCTTAAATTCAGCAAATACATAGTTATTAAATTAGTCAATATTATTTGACGCACCAGCTTGTTCAGATGTTACATACACAGTTAATCACAATGGAAAAGAAGGTTGTGACAGATGTGTTGTAGAGGGTCGGCGCTTTGACGAAAGAATGATGTTTCCAAATAGTGAATATACATTGCGAACTGGTGATAGTTTTTGTCACCAGATTCAATCTATTCACCATCGAGGCCATTCCAAATTCGTAACACTTTCCATTGATATGATCCCAATATCCCCTTTAGATACAATGCATATGGTATACTTAAGTGTGACGAAGAAACTAATCAATCTATTAATAGATTTCTCTCACAGAAGACTTAGAAACATGAACCAATTTGTAATTAAGGATAAAAGTAAATTTATACCACATTGTGCCGCAAGTACTCCTTCAGACTTTCAGCGTAACTGTCGGACACTAGACTTCGTCTCAGTATAGAAAGTGATAGTGTCCATTGTACATTCTGTATTTAGACCACCTAATCCTTAAACATTATTTACCAAAACCGCTGTACCTGAATTCCAAGTCTTTAGCATTAGCGGCTCATTCGTTGACGCATCCCAGACTACATAGAAGCGCAAAAGATTCATTCAGGAATGATTTACTCAACATTCGTTAAGTCTGACCCTGGGAAACAATTAATTATGCTTAAGCCTGGGATAGTCACTGATATAGGGGAAAACGGATCAGTGAAATTTAGGCTATTCACAAACCCACGTGATTATTTCTCTGAACCATTCCCTTCTAAGAATACTTATGTACTCTGTAGTTAGTCATAAGCACAAATGAGTTTCAATTAAGGATGTTGACTGTACATGCATTGCCATTAACTGTGTTAATAATGTAATTGTTCCATTACTAAATGCGTTCATATTGGTATGTTTTTTGAAATCTTGCTGATGGTATTACTTTACAGTGTTTTCTTACATTTTAAATACTGTTTAACCTACTAATAATCAGGAAACAGGTAGTTAAAGAACTTTGTCTGTATCCTATGGAAGTTGTGCATATGCACCTGCAGAATAGTACCCAACCAGATGACGATTGGTCAGTCCTGAAGCGCAAGGTCATCCACTACTGTGGTGAGTTACAAACTTACATGCGGAACTGCTGGACTAATGAAGCGTACGTTGTGTAAGCCTCTTTGACTTAATATGCGCTTGTAAATAACAACACATTCTTTATTAATTACCCTATGCCTATAATTTCTTTTGCAAGTCTTCGTAAATGATATTAGGAACTAGCACTTATGATGGAAATACAAAGCGATCGCTGTTCGAGAATCTGTTTGTTACTAATCTCCTTGGACAATAGTGTTTTTGTTTGTCAGTAACTATCCTGGAAATGTACCACTTTTAACGTAATTACATTAATCGTCTGTAGTCGTCGTGTGCTTTGTTATGGGAGTAGAGGCGAACATAAGAGGCACCTAGGGTTAGGCAAAAGGTGGAAAATAAAGGGTATAATCAAGCTTGCATTAAAAAAGTAGGCGAGTATTTTGTTGAAAAGTAGACAATTCTGCACTTATTCAGGTGAAGGGTAGACAATTCAGCGACGTTTGAAGCACAGTGACAAGAAGGGAAAGCAAACTTTCTGGCACATTTCCCCTTTACTAGTTGCTTAGGTGAAACTATAATCTGTGGATCCACAGATTATAGTTCGTCGACGAACTTTGAGCGACGCTAAAGTGACCTTGAAATAAGACACCTTCTGATTAGGACTAAATGAGGGTTACAAGCCAGTTAGAACTTTCATTTACATTTGATGGTTACGGTTAAAAATTAGATTTAAGGTTTTCATCACGAACTTATATCAGCTATGATACCAAAACTCTACTAAGGCAAATGTATAAATGAATTTTGCGCCAAATTTCATGACTTGTTATCACATATCTGATTGGTTCGTCCATGAATCATAGTCTCGCCTCGTACGAAAACCGTTAGACGTGCCAGGAAACTTAAAACTTGTACGACTGTCTAACCTTGAGATGACCTACGCGGTTCAACTTTTGCAGAACATCTGCTAAAACCTAACTCAGTGCATCTAAACAAAAACTTTTACTTTATTGTGGTCTAGTAAGACATTCTCACACAAAAATTCTCAGTATCAGCTAGGCACAGCTTGTTGACATTTATGAGTTTACTCGTACTTAAAGATAAGCATATCGTAGCATAAAGCTGTATGGCCAACAAAGTAAAAGGTACTGCCACTAGAAAAGATGGCACGTATGTTCTTGTGACAGTTTGTTGTAGGAAGCTCCCAGCTTGCAGGTGAACCATACACATTTAATTTTGTGACTGAATAGAAATGAATGTTATCGATACTCCTCACGTGCATCTGAAATGTATCTACTGAATGTCATGCTAAAGCTATGGTTCTTAAATTCTAATATCCATAAGCTTAATTGTCTATATATTCGTCCCAAAGTTTTATCACGGGGTCATTAACATTTTTGTCGCATTTTTATTCGAAACACATAATCGATCACTTATGATATCTGTTTTCCGCTAAAATAAGAAAGCATAATAGCATTGCAACGACATTGAGGCGATGTAGGATATATTTTATTTATTTATTTATTTATGACTTTATTCAATATTATATTTTGGTACAACATAGAATTCTCAGCACAAAAATATTTCAACAAGTTTCTTTTACAGAAAAAAAACGGTTAATAATAAATAATAATAAATCTGAAAAATAACTGCACAGCTTTTCAATTAGAGTTTTGTTAAGAATGCAGATTATTGACTAGGTTAACTCTAACGACCTGTTCGTCACAGAGTACATTTGCTAGGTAAGGTATTATAGAACGTTTATACTTTTGCTTGCGTGCTTGGATTTTAATGTAATTTCGTCTTGTTCTCCCAGAAGGTATACAAGGAGAAATATATGAGTGAAGAGGATGGTTAGTATTTGATAAAATAACCCCTGCCAGGCGTTTGCATGACTTTAGATGTCTATCCACAACCATATTAATTATGGTCTCGAAAGATTTACCACATACCTTGCTAACTGCCTTCAGCGCTCTCCGCATACAGCAAAGTCTTTTCTCAAAAGCCCGGGAAAGAATAATGAAGAACAGTAAAAAATAATAGGTAATATGCAAGAATTGACAAATTTTAAGAGTAAATGACGAGTGATCCCAAAAGCATGCAACCTCTTAATGTAGTAAGTCAGACGGAAAACTTTCTTCGATGACAATAAAACGTGAGAAGACCAAGAGAGATCAGAGGAAAAGGTAACACCAAGATAATTGACCGTCGACACTATGTTTATCAAAGAGTCGCCAATGGCACAAGCATTATGAGATCTCAAAAAGGTGTTTAAATGCCGATCATGTCTCATGCTAAAGTTAACAGCTTGACATTTAGACGGATTAAGTAGGAGACCACTAACGACAGACCAGCTATCAATGCGAGATAAAAACTCGTTCATTTCTATAGGATGTAAAGAGGAAGAGATAGGCATACAAACAGTGAGATCATCTGAATATTTCACAAAAGTGTTTACTGTGAAAGATGGCAGATCATGCAGAAAAAAAGAGAAAAGAAGAGGTGAAAGAACAGCTCCTTGTGGTACACCTTCATAAGACACTAGAGACTCTGAACACTTTCCACCAAACACTGTGTGGGGTTCCCTTCCAGAAAGGTAGGAACATAGCCAGTTGGTTATCCAGCTGTCAGTGTTGACGCTGATTAACTTGTTAAGTAAACGTTGTCTTGATATAGAATCAAAAGCAGAATTATAGTCCAGGAAAGCGCATCGAACATACATCTTACCCTTTTCTAGGTTGAACACTATATTATGATGCAGAACAGCAACATCATCTAAGGTACTTCTTTTGCATCTGTAAGCAAACTGATACTGGTCAATGTGCTCTTTTATCGCAGGCTGAAGTGAAAGTGTCAATAATTTTTCCATTGCTTTGAGGAAGGGTGAAGTTATTGCAATGGGTCTGAATTTCACATTTTTATCACTAGATGCTTTCTTGGGTATAGGGATTATCTTCATCTTTCTCCACATCTTCGGTATGAGATTAAAAGAGAAGGATCTATTAAAGATAGTAGTGAATGGATAGCATAAGACGTCAGCACACCTTTTAAAAAGAAGATTTGGGATACCATCAGGTCCCAAACATCGGGATGAATTTAGTGACTGGAGACATTTTTGGACATCAGTTTCGGTGAAACTAGAAACACGGGTATTTTTTAAACCCGTGAATAAAGGGAGCATCATATCAGATGATTGACGTAAAAAAGACTTATTTAAGTCACAAACATCCAGCTGGTTATCGGTCCTAATCTGTCTGTCAACTGTAAGTTCTTTGAAGAGTTTCCACATACTTGAAGCGTTTTTACAAGATAAGAGTTTTTGAGCAAACATAGTGTTAAGACGACTAATATCGAGATTTATCAGACCATTTAGCTTACGAACTTCACTATAGTTTATCTCCTTGTACATTCTTTCTTTCACCCTCCGTAGTCGTTTTAGTTGTGAAGATGTAAGTCGATCAAAACTTACAAAAATAGTTTCAGTGGGACAACAAATATCAAAACAGAATTTAAGGTAACAAGTGATAACATCAGAAGTGATTTCCAGTGAGTCATCTGTAAATAATTCCCAGTTAGTCGTATGAAACATGTTTTTCAGATTTCGGATATTTTCTTCTGAGTAATTCCTATATTTTACTTTCTTGGTTTGATTTAAGAGTGTACTCTTCCCATGCCTTCCACATACTTTAGGTAGAACACGAATTATACAGTGATCCGAGCTAGACAATGGGGCACGTTTACGAGTCATATATATACCTACATCATTAATGAAAACGAAGTCTAAATGAGCATCCAACCGAGTAGGAAAATCTACTACATTTTGTGATCTAGCGATGTAAACAAGCTACAGTCACATGAATTGAAATCACCACATACAACTGAAAGTGAATCACTGAAGGCAGTAATAGCAAATTCAGTGAATTCATCATCGAAGACAGGCAGTGCAGATGATGTGCAGTCTGGGGTCACATAGACATTGGTAACATAAACATATTTGTGTTCATTCAGATGTTTTGGACGGCATCTTAGAGTTAGACAGTCGATAAAGTCATTTGAAAACTTGAAACACGCAAACGTAGATCGACACCAGTTCACGTTTACAAAAGTAGCTACACCGCCGCCACACCTTTTTTTATTGTTTGATCGATCCTGAATATAACTTTTGAAATCACGTAGGGATATTAGGCAGTCGTCCTGTAAATAGTTTAACCAAGATTCTTGAATTGTGATGACACCACAATTACGATACATATATTGACTTACTTGGGATTGAAGATAGTCTATCTTGTTAATTAATGATCGGCAGTTAGAATTTAGCAACTCGGGAATCGACATACGATTAATGTTCATTCTCTTCAACACATATTGCTAACCATCACGATGTCTTTTATTGTAGTTTTTTGTAACTTGTGCAGCGAAAGGTCGTAGGCTTTTCATAAACGCGCCTGTATAGGTTATGCGATCAATGAACATAATGAGAGGTTAAAACAAAATAAAAAACAGATATTTTGATGAAATAATTAGATGGCAGGAACAGGTAGCCCAGATATTCAAGCAGGCCGCCGTGATAAGTAATACTCGCGAGTTGTAACCTTGACGTTGGATTATGTGAGTTCTACAGTCACACTGCTACACATCCGCTCGGATGAATGCAATTACTATTATGATCATTTGTACCTGCGATTGTTTTACTGTGCTCGTTTGTTTAACTGTACCAAAGACATTCCTCCTATCGTTGATCGTGACCTTGTACGCGCTTACATTTGCCCGGTGAACCCGCTTGTACTACTTTCGCATGATCTCGGTATTCTTTCAATATCACGAAATCGCCACAAAATATATCTCGACTATAGCCATCGTCTGCCTCCTGATATTGGCCTACAAGGATCTTATTGGTTAACTGGCTGGTAGTCTTCTTTTAGGGGTGATCATAACCAACCGCGACTAGACGCCACGCTACAATTACTTGAAAGACATATGAAGGTTTGATTATAACGATAATATTCTAACATCAATGAATGAATGATTGTTTTTCGAAGTAGAAAAGCAAACACATTTCTCGTCTGTATTTCAAGATAGATGAAGCTACAATACTCTTGAAAAAGCTTTCATACTGTTTCAGCTCGTTATAAAGACAAGATGCCTGATATAACCAAATGTACGGTACACCATACCCTACAAAAATATGGTCTAATTCGGCATCAAATCATTTGTCTTCGCTACCATGATCATGGAGCTAATCCCGAAACTATAGGTTTGTCATGATGGGACTACCTAGTCTATAAGATCTTACATGGGCGCCACATCCAGGAACTCTTCTGGAAGTCGAAGGGTCGTACCATAAACGAGTTGAGACGAAGTGTATCGAATGTCAGCTTTCACTGCATTGCGAATACCTAGTAAGACGAGTGGAAGAGAGTCAATCCACTGAGAAATGTTTGCGGCTGATAGTGACGCTTTAGTTGTCGGTGAAAACGTTCTACTAACCCGTTTGCTTGTGGGTAGTAGGCCGTCGTTCGGGAGCGAGTGATTCCTAATATTACAGTCAGACAACGGAAACGTTCAGATTCGAACTGGCGTCCACGATCTGTAGTGATTGTTATTGGGCAGCCACTGTTTCAGGGGTAATGTCCTTGGCGGGTACTGCTTCTGGTCATCAAGTAAAACGGTCTACGCATGTTAAAAGATAAGAATATCCATTTGAATCCGGTAAAGGTTCTACAAAATCCAAATGAACATGGTCGAAACGAGCATCGGGAGTTTCAAACGAGCCTAAGGGACATTTGTTATGCCTAATCACCTTACATTTCTGACAGCTTACACAGGAGCGTGCCCACTCCCTCACGTCTTTATTCATACCAGGCCAGCAAAACCGTTCTGCTATAAGCTTGATGGTTGCACGAACACCTGGATGAGAAAGTCTGTGCAACGTATTGATGACGTT